GTCTCGAAGGGAGTCCTTCACTACACATCATTCCCATGATCAATCACTTGGAGATGTTCAGAATTCCGATGCCATTCCTGTTGAGGAAACGTTCACCTATGCCACTCCTATTTCTGATGGTGATCGCTCGACTGCTTCGCAATTCGCTTCAGTCCTCTATGGCGACACTCGCAATGCTCATCGTGGTGATCTCTCGTTCCCGTCTTCTGAGCGGTTTAGGGCTGTTTCGCGCTCCCCTCGCCGCGGTGGATATTTTGGTCAACGATAGGAACACGAAGTTGAGCATGTGATCTTCCTGCAGAAACGGAGACTCCTCGTCCCTCATTGAGGGGCGTGTGTGTGCGGAGTGACAGAATACCCTGTCACCACCTTGGGCCCTTGGTTGCGGCGCTGTTTGTGCTTCTTGTTCTTTCGGGTAACGTGTTCGCTGCTAGACGGAAGCCAAGTGACTGCAAGCCGAACCCACTCGAGACTCATCAGTTGTACTCGAGACTCATCAGTTGTACTCGAAAGATTAGCACTCTCCATTTGGAGTTCAAGTGTGTGTGTGAGTGTGTGTGAGAGTGTGAGTGTGAGTGTGTGTGTCTCTGTGTGCGTGTGTCTGTCTGTGTGTGTGTCTGTCTGTGTGTGTTTCTGTGGTTTGGGTGTTTGTGTGTTTGTGTGTTTGCACGCTTGCGTGTTTGTGTGTGTGTGTTTGTGTCTGTGTTTTTGGTGTTTTCTTGTTTTTTCCCGAACGCGTAGCGAACTGTTCCCGTATAATAAGTGGGGGTCTGGGGGTGGAGGCCGCGTTCGCGAGGAGTTGCTCCAGAGTTTGCAACCGCCCGCAACCGTCCGCAACCGTCCGCAACCGTTCGCAACCGTTCGAACCGTTCGCGGTGAGGCGATTAGCGTGCGCCATTGGGATTCGTTGTGGAAGCGTGGTTTTGATGGATCGGCAAGTGCTGTTTTCATTGCTTCTCAAGCTCGACGTGCCGTTTCGCTACGCAGGCGCAGTGTTTTGGAAGGCTGCGTGTTCTCGTTGCCGCGCCAGTGGGGTTTGCGTGTCCGGGGTGGTCGCTTTGAGGTGTCCTGCTTGGCAGGCGCGTGCAAGTGTTTCATTTTCGTTGCCCGTGCAATCGGCTCGTTTTGGCGAGCCTGAATCATGTCAAAATTGGTCGAAATGATTCTGGCGCCACAGTCCCGTGCTAGTTTTGGATGCGTGACGTAAACGTGTCAAAGTTGGATGTCTAGGCAGGTCCAGCACTTTGGATAATTTTGAGTTTATGGCAAGCTTACTTTGCGTGACAGGCGCAGCAGTTTCGAGCGTTTTGGTTGACTTTCGTGGCAGGCGCGGCGCTTTGGAGCTTTTCATGCAGATTTCGTGGCAGGCGCAGTACTTTAGTGCCTGGATGTAGATTTTGTGGCAGGCACGTCATTTTGACTCTCGCTGTGGCGCGGTGCACATCTTGCGAACGCGAAGCGAACCGTCTGCGCACTTTGGTTGGGTCGAATCGCTGTTGCTGTGGCGCGCTGCGCATTTTGAGTGCGCCTGGGTGTAGATTTCGTGGCAAGTCACTTTGACTCAGCGAGACCGCTCTTGCTGTGGCGCGGTGCACATTTTGCGAACGTGAAGCGAGCCGTCCGCGCACTTTGGGTGGGTCAAATCGCTCTCGCTGTGGCGCGGTGCACATTTTGCGAACTTGCAGCGAACCTTCTGCGCACTTTGGGTGGGTCAAATCGCTCTCGCTGTGGCGCAGTGCGCATTTTCAGCATGCAAAGTGAACCCTCTGCGCGCTTTGGGTGGGTCAAATCGCTCTCGCTGTGGCGCGGTGCGCATTTTGAGCATGCGAAGTGAACCCTCTGCGCACTTGGCGTGGGTCGAATCGCTCTCGCTGTGGCGCGGTGCGCAGAAGTGTCGTTCAGAAGTGCCGATCACAAGTGTCAATTAGCAGTGTCGTTCAGAAGTGTCGATTAGAAGTGTCCTTCAGAAGTGTCGATCAAAAGTGTCGCTAAGTGTCGACAGAAGTGCTGCTCGGAAGTGTCGATCAGAAGTGTTGCTCAGAAGTGTCGATCAGAAGTGTCGAAACTAAGTGTTGCTCAGAAGTATTGCTCAGACGTGTCCCTCAGAAATGTTGTCAGAAGTGTGGATCAGAAGTGTTGCTCAGAACTAGAACTGTTGATCAGATCAGAAGTGTGGATGAGACGTGTTGCTCAGAAGTGTTGCTCAGAACTGTCGATGAGAAGTGTGGATCAGAAGTGTTGCTCATCAGTGGCAATCAGAAGTGTGGTTCAGCAGTGTTGCTCAAACTGTCAATCGGATCAAAATAAGGGTTGCTCAGAAGTGTCGATCAGAAGTGTCAAACAGAACTGTTGCCCAGAAAAACCAATCAGAAGAAGTGTCGCTCAGAAGTGTTGCTCAGAAGTGTTGATCAGAAAAAGTCTGGTTCAGAAGTGTTGATCAGGTGTCGCTCAGAAGTGTCAATCAGAAGTGTGGGTCAGAAGTGTTGCTCACTCAGAAGTGTCGATCAGAAGTGTTGCTCAGAAGTGTCGCTCAGAAGTGTCAATTCAGCAGTGTTGCTCAGAAGTGTCGTTCAGAAGTGTCGATGAGCAGTGTGGATCAGAAGTGTTGGTCAGAAGTGTTGCTCAGAACTGTCGACGAGAAGTGTGGATCAGAAGTGTTGCTCATCAGTGTCAATCAGAAGTGTGGTTACAGCAGTGTTGCTCAAACTGTCAATCACAATTGTCAATCAGAAGTGCGGATCAATAGTATTGTGTTGATCAGGTGTCGCTCAAAAGTGTCGCTCAGAAGTGTCGCTCAGAAGTGTTGCTCAGAAGTGTCGATCAGAGAAAGTGCGGTTCAGAAGTGTTGATCAGGTGTCGCTCAAAAGTGTCGCTCAGAAGTGTCAATCAGAAGTGTGGGTCAGAAGTGTTGCTCACTCAGAAGTGTCGATCAGAAGCGTTGCTCAGAAGTGTCGCTCAGAAGTGTCATTTCAGCAGTGTTGCTCAGAAGTGTCGTTCAGAAGTGTCGATGAGCAGTGTGGATCAGAAGTGTTGGTCAGAAGTGTTGCTCAGAACTGTCGACGAGAAGTGTGGATCAGAAGTGTTGCTCATCAGTGTCAATCAGAAGTGTGGTTACAGGTGTTGCTCAAACTGTCAATCACAATTGTCAATCAGAAGTGCGGATCAATAGTATTGCTCAGAAGTGTCGATCAGAAGTGTTGCTCAGAAAAGTCAATCAGAAAAGGTGTCGCTAGAAGTGTTGCTCAGAAGTGTCGATCAGAAAAAGTGTGGTTCAGAAGTGTTGATCAGGTGTCGCTCAAAAGTGTCGCTCAGAAGTGTCGCTCAGAAGTGTTGCTCAGAAGTGTCCATCAGAGAAAGTGCGGTTCAGAAGTGTTGATCAGGTGTCGCAAAAAGTGTCGCTCAGAAGTGGCAATCAGAAGTTGTGCTCAGACGTGTCGCTCAGAAGTCTAGTACGCGCTGGAAATTCGCAACTTTGTAGCACAAGTATAGCGCGCGAAGTACAGGTTTCTGGAAAATCACAACTTTGAAGTGCAAGTCTAGTGCGCGAAGTACAGGTTTCCAGCTCCAGCTCGAAAATCGCAACTTTGTAGTACCAGTCTAACGCGCGAAGTACAAGCTTCCAGCTCCAGCTGGACAATCGCGACTGTGTAGTACAAGGCTAGTACGCGAAGCACGGGTGCGCGAAGTCCAGCTCTAGCTGGAAACCCCAACCTTGTAGCGCAAGCCAGGTTTCCAGCTCTAGCTGGAAAATCGCAACTTTGACAACAAGTCTAGTACGCGAAGTACGGGTTTCCAGCTCCAGCTGGAAAATCGCAACTTTGTTGTACAAGTCTAGTGCGCGAAGTACAGGTTTCTAGCTTTATCTGGAAAATCGCGACTTTGTAGTGCAAGTCTAGTGCGCGAAGTACAGGGTTCTAGCTCTAGCTGGAAAATCGCGACTTTGTAGTACACGTCTAGTACGCGAAGTACAGGTTTCCAGCTCCAGCTGTAAATTGCGACTCTGTAGTACAAGTCTAGAGCTCTATCTGGAAAATCGCAACTTGGTAGTACCAGCTCTAGCTGGAGAATCGCAACTTTGAAGTACAAGTCTAGTGCGCGAAGTGTGCAGGTTTCCAGCACTAGCTGGAAAGTCACAACTTTGTAGTGCAAGTATAGTGCGTGAAGTACAAGTTTCCAGCTCTGGCTGGAAGATCGCAACTTTAAAATCGTAGCTTTGTAGCAACATGTGGAGCACGCAAAGTACTGTTTTACAAGCCGAAAAACATAGTTTGCGCAGTAGGCTTGATTGCGAGCCCCATTGGCTTATACCGAAAAATGTTCTAATTATTTTCTTGGGTTTGCGCAAAGTGATGTGCGTTCGGGTTCGTGGGCTCTGTCTTGTTGTTTTTGTTCGTGTGTTTGTGTGTGTGGGTGTGTGTGTTTGTGCGTCTGTGTTTTTGCGTGTGTGTGTGTGTGTGTTTGTTTGTGTGTGTTTGTGTGTGTGTGTGTGTTTGTTTGTGTGTTTGTGTGTGTGTGTTTGTGTGTGTGTGTATGTGTCTGTGTGTGTGTGTTTGTTTGTTTGTGTGTGTGTGTGTTTGTGTGTGTTTGTGTGTGTTTGTGTGTCTTTGTGTGTCTTTGTGTGTCTTTGTGTGTCTTTGTGTGTCTTTGTGTGTGTGTGTGTTTTGTTGTTGTTGGTGTGTTTTGTTTGTGTGTGTGTGTGTTTGTGTGTTTGTGTGTTTGTGTGTTTGTGTGTGTGTTTTGTGTTTTGTGTTTTGTGTGTTGTGTGTGTGTGCGTTTTTGTGTTTGTGTTTGTGCGTGGGTGAGTGCGTGCGTGTGTGCGGGTTCGAGGGGAATGTGTGTGTGATCATAACGAGATCGCTTGGGGGTGATCGATAACGGTTTTTTTGGCGTGAAACGGTGCGTTGGGGGGGGTTTTCTGATTTCCTCCTTCCCAAGCTGGGTTGCCAGTTTGCGAACTATGTTTTAATGTATTGTGCGTCGCAAACGCCAAGTCGGCTCAGGTCATTCTGCCGGACAGTAGGCCCATTCGGCAAGTGACGCTGCAACTGGACAACGGCGAGGGCAGCAACAGGACCATCCAGGCAACTGTGGCGCGATAAGTGGCTATGATTTTCAATAAGGAACTACCTCAAAACTGGTTGGTGGACATGAATCCCCACCTAAATGATGTCCACCAAAAGATGCGATGGGTATCAAAGTCATGGATCCCTCTCGCAAGGGTTGAAGGCGGTCCAAGATGAAGCGACGACCCCCACACAACATGTTGGGTTGAAGGGGGGGTTTGCCCGGACTTTCATGCTGCCCGCGCATGCCGATCCTCAGCGTGTTCGTGGCTGTCGAGGGGGGGAGAAGGGAACGGGGGGGGGGATGGAAAGAACGCGGGTCCATGTTTCCAGCATGTCGAGGCCAACCCGTGTTTCAAACTTGTCGATCCCGCCCTACACGCCATGTGACTGCTCTCTACGCCACTGTGCAGTGCTTATCTGACACGCTGCCACTTTGCCGCAGGTGGTTTTATCGAAGAGGGTTTGGGCCTTCTTGCCATTGAAAGAGCTACCTTCCCGGATGCTGGTCTTTGTCTCCGTTGCGCTCTCGGCACGGAGCAGGAATGGAAGTTCTGCCAGCGCATTATCAGTGCAGCTCATGACTTGTCTGCTTCGCATATACAAGGCAGCCCGGCCTGGACAGCTGCATGAAAGTGTTGGTGGCACTCCGGAGGTTTCTCACGAAGAGAGTCAAACCACAGTCCTGGAGCCTGCTTCGAGCAAATGAAAATGCTGCGCCTGCCAGCATCGCGTATTCGAATCTGAGATTCGAAGACGCAAAGTTGCACAAGTTTTTGCTATTCGCGTAGGATTTGCGCAATTCCCAACCCACGTCCAAGAGTGACCGTCCTTCGGTCCGGGCGCCCCCCCCGCAACCCAAGTTGATGACAACGGATTCTATGCAACTGTGCACTATCACACACCTATTTGCTGCACTGCAGCATCCTTGTTCCGTAGGTGCAGTTGACTTGTGCAGGTTCAGGCTTGCGTTGCAGTTGTTACAATGAAGGACCGCCTGCCACTTACCTGCTGGAGTCGTATGTGGATTATGTGGTGCGGCCACCCAACCGCCTCAAAGCGTTAGGGTTGTTGATCGGGCCAGCGTGTTTACTTGCCCGTGGATTCAGTCACGGGAGCCGTTCAAATATCCTGAAGCCGTTCATGCCAGTAAGGGGTTTGAAGGTTTCGCCTGATGATGATGATGATGAAGCCAAAAGGTGCTTGGCATTTGCAGGGATGGTCATCATTTAGCTTTCATGAAACCGCTCCGAGGACTTCGGAAAACACTTGATAACCCCCAGGGCATGTTGGTGTTGCCTGATGTGACTTCCACTGGAGCCTGTTTTTTTCAAGCCAAGCATATAGGGAATCTTGCAAGCCAATACATGGGGAGGAAAGAAGTAGGTAACCAGCCAAGAAGAGAGACATGGCTTGTGATTAAGAGATCCATCATTCATCATCCATCTCTCCATTCAAGCTTGGCTTTCATGTCATTTGGATTCTTCATTCTAATTGTATTTCTATCAGCTTGTCCAACAGTGACTGATAAGAATGGGGCCAGGTGCAAACATAAGAAAGAGAAGGAAAGGAAGAAGGTGATTGCCAAGACATTCTCTTTCATAAGCATGCTTCACCTATCCCTTTCTATTCTATCACACACTAACCTCATTGCTTATCTCACTTTTATACTGTAATTACAGTAACTGGTTGGGAGACGAATGAATGTGTGCGCCATCTCTTCCCGCATCTATTTCTCACGTAATTTCTGGATGTCAATGATGGGTGAAAAGAGATGTACAAGAAGAGTTAGGACATTATGAGTCTCTCTCTCTCTCTCTCTCTCCCTTTATTCAGTATTTATTATTGTAACTCATGCCTGTCTTCTCCTCATCTTGGATGTCACGGACGAAGCGAGGAAACGAGGAAGAGGAAGTGAAAGGACACCATGAAAAGAGAAAAGGGCAAGCCTCACAAGCGATCCACAGAGCTGCATGAGTTCACCTATCAACAGCTTGCGCAGGCTAAAGTGTTTCTGAAGCAGCGTAGTGGTCTATCCAGCGGAATAATGCACCCTGGAGTTGCAGTGCCCAGGGCCCCAGCCGCAACGAAATTCTCTGCATGTGGAGGAGCATATTATTTTCTGCCTGTAAAAATATATCGTTGCGTGGTGATGACACTAGAACACGTGTTTCGTAGACAAGCATAGTATAGTGATGATTCAACAAACAAGATTCCATGGAACAACTTCAATTTCAATCCCGCACTATCCTTACCATGATGATGAAACTGGTAGTCCTAGCCTGTGCTCTGGGAATCACTTTAGGAACCCCAACTACTGACGCCAAGGCGGCAATTTGTACAGTCGAAGCACCTAAGTGCCGGTGTGGATCGGGCAGGTTCCCAAAAAAGGAAGCTAGACAATCATCATGGGAATTTGGCTTGAGGGAAGCGTCCTGCTTCCAGTCAATTGGACCTTGATAGCAGTAGTTTCGAATTTCTTGTCCAGTGGGTAACATGCAATGTGGTCCAAGGATGGTCGGGCTGGCCACGCCCCGCTGGGGGTGGTGGGCCAAGTGCCCCACCAACCCCAGCCAGGCCAGGCCAGCCCGCTGGGGGAACAAGCTAATTTTTTTTCTCGCCTGGGAAAGCGCCAAATTGTGGATGATGCAGAATCCGCATTTGCGCCGCCGCCGAAGCGGGCTATAGCCAACCCCAAGACGACCTTAATGATGCCCAACAAGCGTCTTGTTGCAGTGGGCCGAGGTGCTAATGATGCGGGTCGGCGGGTCGTGGCGGCAGCCTTCAGCTAAGGCTACAGGCGCCTCACTCCTGCAGACTCAAAACCGACCCAAAAAAAACAGCCCAACAACGACCCACCAGAAGCAAATGATGCAGGTGATGCTTAACACTTTAGGATGCGGCATTGCTCAGGATCCGACAAAGCCGTTCGGCCAGTTGGCCGCGGCCGGATTTAAGGGCTGCCAGCCTGCCACGAACCCCGAATCAAAGCAAAGTCATGAGGATTGGTCCTTTGCCAGGCGATAAGAAAGTGATGGCGATGATGACAAGAACGGCGCCACTTTGCATCCCATGCGCTCCCAGCAGTACTGGCGGTGCCTCAGGTCCTAGTTCAATTCTAAAAAAACGGTAACACTATAGCGACGATGGGAATACTGATTATTGATGATCACGATGACGAGGCGCTTCGGGCCCCCCAGCATCACTAGCCAGGGTACAGAGAAAACAAACGCAGCCTCGAAAATGAGCGTGCCCTGCGCTGCAAAATGCTGTTCGCATTGGATCCCAAGCTCGCCGCTTTCCATCCCCAGCATTGCCAGCGCTGCCCAATGTCCCAGGTCAATTCTACACAAAGAAATGATGATGTTGATCATGATCTTGATGATGATGATGATGATGATGATAATGATGAAGAAGTAGAAGAAGACAATGAGGATGATGAGGATGATGATCATGCACATGTCCCACACCCAGCATTACCAGCGAGGCTACACAAGATAATGATGACGACGATGATGATGATGACCATGACCATGACCATGATGGTGATGGTGATGGTGATGGTGATGGTGATGGTGATGGTGATGATGGTGATGATGATGATGATGGTGATGGTGATGATGATAATGATGAAGAAGTAGAAGAAGATGATGAGGATGATGAGGATGATGATCATGCACATGTCCCACACCCAGCATTACCAGCGAGGCTACACAAGAGAATGATGACGACGGTGATGGTGATGATGACCATGACCATGATGGTGATGGTGATGGTGATGGTGATGATGATGATGGTGATGGTGATGATGATGATGATGATGATGATGATGATGATGAAAAGGAAGATGATGATAATGATGAAGAAGTAGAAGAAGATGATGAGGAGGATGAGGATGATGATCATGCACATGTCCCACACCCAGCATTACCAGCGAGGCTACACAAGAGAATGATGACGATGATGATGATGATGACCATGACCATGATGGTGATGGTGATGGTGATGATGATGATGATGATGATGATGATGATGATGATGACAATGACGATGGTGATGATGGTGATGATGATGATGATGATCATGATGCTGATGCTGATGCTGATGCTGATGCTGATGATGATGATGATGATGATGATGATGATGATGATGGTGATGGTGATCCTCGGCGCCCCCAGCACCACCTCGGTCCACCCCGTCTCTAAAGCAACCCCGCGCCACCAACGCAAGCCCTCAAGTCTTCAATCCAAGGCTAATCCTAGTAAGTATGTAGAAACTACCTTAAACTCACCCTGCACCGTCCCACAACTGCTTCTGGAAAAGCCTTGAAGGCCCAGCTGATCTTAAAGTAAGCCCAAACCAATCTCAAACCAAGTCTGCGCCTTTTCCTCCAAACCCACCCTTTAACCCCTCCTTAGGCAACCATAAAGTAGCCCAGGTCATCCCAAACACACTAAACTAACCCCTGGACCAGCCTCACCGCTCGGGGAGGGTGTTTGGTACTGTTTCCGGTTCCTGCCTTGTGTCTTATGTTTGGTGAATGCGCGGGCCGGAGGCCAACGTGCTCCGGGAGGAGCCCTTGGTGCTCGGCATCAAAGGCGGAGTTGCCCGGTCGGGTGGGGAAAATCGTGGCGCAGGTTGAGGTGGAGCAAAACCCTCAAACTTGGTGAGGTTGCTTTTGGGGCTTTGTAAGATCGAAGGTTTGAACATTTGTTTGGCCAATCTGCTCAGGAAGTCCAAATGTAGTGACATGTTCCTTTGGTCAAAAGACCATCATGTATAGCATAGCACAGGAAGGGCTCAGGGTGGGAACAGTGGGAACTCCTTCGGTTTTGATGTCGGCTGGGGTTTAGTGCCGCAGAGGAGAGGGGAGACAAACGATATTCTGCGCTTACTTCTATTGGCGACCATTGGGTGACATCTTGTCTTGGGCTTAATGCGTGTGGTCTTTTGTTAATACTTCCCATTGACGGGGGCACACCTCTTTGCCTCAAGTCTCGAGGCCTTCAGCACGGTGATGTGTTTGCTCAAGCGGGCCATTTGGACTTTCTGTTTCCTCTTGACTCTGATACTTGAGCAGCATGAGAAGCTTTTCTGCAGTCTCCACATGCATCCCAGCTTTGCACAACAGCCCCAAGGGAAGTATGTTTGAGCTTCAACACAGAATCATTCATTGCGAGGTTTGGCTCCAGCCGAAGGACTGTATTGGCCGTCACCATTCAGACATGCTACACCCTGACTCGGAGGGTGTGCGCCCCCAACATGCCCAAGTGGAGCTAAGTGATCTCCACTTTCTTGTTTGAATTAACATGCGCCCACTAGCTCAAGACATTCTTGTCCGGCGCCTTGGCTACAAAGTGGATGCGCCAACCGTTCATGCGTGAGAGAAGGAGTAAATCCGCTCAGCGCCTGTCTCAAGTTAGACTTTCCAGCTTCGCCTGAAGAGTGGTTCCCTTTATCAACATGCTCCGACTTTGACCTTCTCCAGCCTGTGTGTTTGGAGTTTGCTCGGCGAAACATCAGGCCTTCCCGTTCGAAATGTGCCACCAGTAGCATGTTGCATGAGGGCTTGGTGCACACGGTTATTTGACCTCATTCCACAACACACAGCGCGGCAGTCCCCGCAGTCCCCGCAGTTTAAAGTGGAGCTTGCCGGCCCAGCAGCCATCAAAGCCAAGACTCATCTCAGCGCTCGCGCGACTCAGCATCGCAGCCTGTTCTTCCAGGGCCTTCTGCCTTGATAGGCTGCTTGGAATGGGGCTTGTTTTACTGGCTGCCAGGAGCGAATCATGAGGAACGACACGTCCTTGACTTGAGCAAAGCGCAGAGCCGTTGGGCCCAGCCAGCCGAAATCAAAGCATTGTGGCACGGCTTACCTTGAGACTGCTGTGGTTTGCAGCTGGCCTGCGTTGCGCAACGTTCCACGCCGGTGGCGTTGAAGCGCTCAATCTGGCATGGAAGTGCCTTTGCTTGACGTAGAATTGCCGTTTTCTGCAGGAGAGACGCGCATTGTAATTGGCTCTGGCAGCGATTTCGCACGCTTGTTTTGATTTGCTGGCCAAGTCAAATGACCCTTTTGGCAGACCGCACGGCCTCAGAATGGGAAGGGCCTTACATTGACAAACCGTTTTGCAGGCCTCACAGCCAGTTGCGCCTCAAGGTTCGGAAGAGATTTTATTTTGCGTAAGCTTCGTACTGAGGTCCAGACAGCCTTAAACTGAGGGGGCGCAGGCTCTGTCGGATGGCGGTGCTTTGCAATTGCAAGTACAGCGTCAGTGAGTGGTGTTGGAGCCATTCAACCTGGCTGTGCCCAGTGCATTGTGAGGCGGCAACTACGCGAGTTTGAAGCATTGGTGGCTAATCAAGCTGCCTGTTCTCAGGCCTGGTGATAAGTTCCAGCCACACAAGTGTGAAGCTAAGCTTGGCGGATCCTGCCGGCCTAACAGCCATCAAGGCTAAGGTTTATCTCAGCACGCGCGAGCGTCCGCATCCCAGCCTTTCCTTCCAGGGCTTTCTGCCTTGATATAGGCTGGAATAAGTTTTGCTTCGGCTGCCAGGAGTAGCATTGGTTGGCATCATGCGGACCGTCGGGTCCTTGACTTGAGCAAGGCACAGACTTGTTGGGCCCAGCCATCTTGGCTGTGCCTAGAACATTGTGACAAGCTTCTACAGCTTGAGACGGCTGTGGTTTTCAGACACAGTGCTGCTGGCTTGCGCGTGCGCTCACGCCTGTTGAGTTGGATGCCCTTCCGCATGACGGATGGCGGCGCAACTCCCTGGCCTTATGCCCAGCGTTGGCGTGCTCAACTGTTGGGGTGGCTGTGCCTCAAGGTTCGCCAGAGGTTGCGCTTTGAAAAAGCCTTGTACTGAAACCCAAACCTGGCCTGACTTGACAGAACGCAGGCGCTGCTCGGATGGCAGTGCGTTGCAGTATCTTTGCTATCAGCAAGTCGTGCTGAAACCGCCCGACCTGCTGTGCCCAGAGCTTTGTGAAATTGCGGCGGCGCGAATTTCCAGTTTTGCTTTTCCGAGCTTGCCGGCCGAGCGGCTATCAAGGTTGTGGCATAGGGCAAAGCCAATGTAGCCAGCGCACTGGTGGAGTCCGCGAGGGCGTTTCTAAGAAGTTTTCAGAAGGCCAATCCCCTTCACAGAAGCTCGCCCCCGCTCAGAGGAGTTATAGTTTTTTCCAAAGGAACGGGGCCCTTCTTAGAAGCTGTTTGGGCACTTGCAGAAGCATTTCCAAGGGCTTCGCAGAAGAGGTTTTGCCACTAAGAACCCTGTAAGAGGCAACGCCTCTTCCAAGAAGGCGCCCTACCGACGCCGCCTTGCCGTGACTCCCTTGCATCTGCCCCTACAGACTCCCTTGGTTCTGCCCCTACATAGAAGCGCCTTTGCTTGACGTAGAATTGCAGTTTTCTGCAGGAGACACGTGGATTGCAAGCCGCGGTGGCAGCGATTCCGCAGAATTGGTTTGATATGCTGGCAACATGCCCAGTCACATCCTGTCTGAGCCATGGTGGAATGGCCAAGGCGTGTGAAGCGAAGAGCACGGGCGCAGTTGTATGTCAATCACTTTCGCCAAGTCAAATGGCCCTTTCTACCTTGCCTTGCGGCTCACGGCAGCTTTCCAGTCCCTGCGCGAGCAAGCTGTAGCACGCGTTGTGGTTCAATTCAGTGGCGCAGTCTTGGTCTACACTTGCTTGAAGAGCTTGCTGCGCAGCCAGAGAACCCGCAGCAGATTTGAAGTTGGATACAGTTCATCAGGCAGCTGACCTGTGGCTTGACTCGACAGGACGGCGCTGCTCGGATGGCAGTGCCCGGGTCTTTGTGAAATTGCATCGGCGCGGTTTTCCAACTAGGCTTTGCGGGAGATTGCTGGCCAAGCCGCTATCAAGGCTGAAACTCATCTCAGCGCTCACCCCACGTCAGAAGCCAGGTCTCTTGCCCCGCTGCTTTGGTCGTAGTGGTTAAGACCAGTGGGCTTAAGCATTGCAAGCAGCTGCGCAGCAGCTCGTCTTGTTTTGGATGTTCCCAGACCGCTTAAGACCAGCGGGCCTAAGCAGCATAAGGCGCCGAAGGGCGTGCTTCTGATGGAAGGAGTGGTGGAGTGTGAATTGTGCGCTAAGATTGCGGCCTTCTACTTGTCATGTTCTTCCATGTTGGCGAGGCAAGGCTGCCATGGGGTCTTTAGCAACAAAGTAGGCATCTCTGTAGAAGCAGGGATGCCGATAAATTGAGCGCTTTCAAAGCCGATTCCTGTTTGGCTTGTTTAGCTGGTGGCTCTTATGATCAGCTTGCTGGTGCAGTCGGCAGGCGGAGTACTGCTGGTCTGCACGTGCCGGGTGCGCTCGCACCTGTCAAGTTGGATACCTTGCCTTGCGCACGCAACGCTACAGCTTTCCAGTCCTTGCGCGCTCAAGCTGTAGCACGCTTTGGGGTTCAATTCGGTGGCGCAGTCTTGGTCTACGTTTGCTTAAAGAGCTTGCTGCGCAGCCAAAAAATCCACGAAGCTGAATTGACAGGACGCAGGCGCTGCTCGGATGGCAGTTGCAGTATCTTTGCTATCAGCAAGTCGTGCTGAAACTGCCCGACCTGCTGTGCCCAGAGCTTTGTGAAATTGCGGCGGCGCGAATTTCCAGTTTTGCTTTTCCGAGCTTGCCGGCCGAGCGGCTATCAAGGTTGTGGCATAGGGCAAAGCCAATGTAGCCAGCGCACTGGTGGAGTCCGCGAGGGCGTTTCTAAGAAGTTTTCAGAAGGCCAATCCCCTTCACAGAAGCTCGCCCCCGCTCAGAGGAGTTATAGTTTTTTCCAAAGGAACGGGGCCCTTCTTAGAAGCTGTTTGGGCACTTGCAGAAGCATTTCCAAGGGCTTCGCAGAAGAGGTTTTGCCACTAAGAACCCTGTAAGAGGCAACGCCTCTTCCAAGAAGGCGCCCTACCGACGCCGCCTTGCCGTGACTCCCTTGCATCTGCCCCTACAGACTCCCTTGGTTCTGCCCCTACATAGAAGCGCCTTTGCTTGACGTAGAATTGCAGTTTTCTGCAGGAGACACGTGGATTGCAAGCCGCGGTGGCAGCGATTCCGCAGAATTGGTTTGATATGCTGGCAACATGCCCAGTCACATCCTGTCTGAGCCATGGTGGAATGGCCAAGGCGTGTGAAGCGAAGAGCACCTGCGCAGTTGTATGTCAATCACTTTCGCTAAGTCAAATGGCCCTTTTGGCAGACCGCACGTCCTCAAAATGGAAAGGGCCTTGCCTTAACAAACCGTGTTGCAGACCTTACAGCCGGTTGCGCCTCAAGGTTTGCGTAAGCTTCATACTGAAGTCTCGACCTGGCCTAAAACTGACAGGGTGCAGGCGCTGCTCGGATGGTGGTGCTTTGCAAATACATTGCCGTCAGCGAGTGGTGTTGTAGCCAGTCAACCTGGCTGTGCCCAGTGCATTGTGAGGCGGCAACTACGCGAGTTTGAAGCAGTGGTGGCTAATCAAGCTGCCTGTGCTCAGGCCTCGTGACAAGTTCTGGCTACACAAGTGTGAAGCTAAGCTTGGCGGAGCCTTCCGGCCTCGCAGCCATCAAGGCTAAGGTTCATCTCAGCACCCGCGCGCGTCCGCATCCCAGCCTTTCCTTCCAGGGCTTTCTGCCTTGATATAGGCTGGAATAAGCTTTGCTTCGCATTGGTCGGCATCACGCGGACCGTCGGGTCCTTGACTTGAGCAAGGCACAGACTTGTTGGGCCCAGCCATCTTGGCTGTGCCTAGAACATTGTGACAAGCTCCTACAGCTTGAGACGGCTGTGGTTTGCAGACACAGTGCTGCTGGCTTGCGTGTGCGCTCACGCCTGTTGAGTTGGATGCCCTTCCGCATGACGGATGGCGGCGCAACTCCCTGGCCTTATGCCCAGCGTTGGCGTGCTCAACTGTTGGGGTGTGCCTCAAGGTTTGCCAGAGGTTGCGCTTGAATAAGCCTCGTACTGACACCCAGACAAGGCCTGACTTGGCAGAACGCAGGCGCTGCTCGGAGGGCAAGGCTTTGCTGTAGCTGTGCCATCCGCAAGTGTTGGAGCTAGCTGAATTGCCTGTGCCAGAGCTTTGTGAAATTGCAGCGGCGCGAATTTTCGGATAGGCTTTGTGGAGCCTGCCGGCCGCAGAAGCATTTCAAGGGCTTCATAGAAGGGGTTTTGCAATTAAGAACCGTGTAAAAGAGGCAATGCCGCTTCTAAGAAGGCGCCCTACCGACGCCACCTTGAGGTGACTCCCTTGGTTCTGCCCTTGGTTCTACCCCCTTGGTTCTTTGCTTGGCGTAGAACAGCCGTTTTCTGCAAGAGCACGGGCGCAGTTGTATGTCAATCACTTTTGCCAAGTCAAATGGCCCTTTTGGCAGACCTCACAGCAGAACCCCAAGCCCCCGCTCGCCCCGGCTCACAGGAGTTATAGTTTTTTCAAAAGGAACTGGGCCCTTCTTAGAAGCGGTTTGGGCACTTGCAGAAGCATTTCCAAGGGCTTTGCAGAAGAGCTTTGCCACTAAGAACCCTGTAAGAGGCAACGCCTCTTCTAAGAAGGCGCCCTACCGACGCCGCCTGACTCCCCAGCATAGAAGCGCCTTTGCTTGACATAGAATTGCCGTTTCCTGCAGGAGACACGCGGATTGCAAGGCACAATGGCAGCGATTCCGCACGCTTGTTCTGATATGCTGACACCATGCCCAGTCACATCCTGTTTGAGCCATCGTGAAATGACCAAGACGTGTGAAGCGAAGAGCAAGGGCGCAGTTGTATGTCAATCACTTTCGCCAAGTCAAATGGCCCTTTTGGCAGACCTCACGGCCTCAAAATGGAAAGGGCCTTGCATTGACAAACCGTTTTGCAGACCTCACGGCCAGTTGTGCCTCAAGGTTGGCAAGAGGTTGTATTTTGCTAAGCTTTGTACTGAAGTCCTGACCTGGCCTTGAACTGACAGGGTACAGGCGCTGCTCGGATGGCGGTGCTTTGCAAATACTGTGCAGTCGGCGTCAAAACAGCCTCAACTTGACAAACGATAGCCTTTTGTTTAAATAGATGCTCTTTGTGATAACCGGTCAGCTTGGCTGTGCCTAAAACATTGTGAGAAGCTACAGCTTCAGACGGCTTTGGTTTTCAGACACAGTACAGCAGGCTTGCGCGCTCACGCCGGTTGAGTTGGATGCCTTGCCGTGTGACGGCTGGAAGCGCACAACGACGCGCTCAATTCTTGCTAGGTCATGACAGCTGCCTTTGCAGAAGCCTGGGGGATCTTCACACCACCGCCTTGTGTGAAGGCTGCCTAACGGGAACGTGATCCTTTGCGTCACAGGGCCTGGAATCGTTCGTGTAGGGACCGAGATGGGCGGATCATGTCCATCGTTCCGCTACAAGAGTTGTGCTTCAATCAGAGGGACTGAACATGGATCGCAATCGATCTTAACTTCCGAGCAGGAAGCAAGGACATCAGCCTTTTGATCATTTCACAAAGCTTGTAAAATCTTCGCAAGGGCACATGTTTGTTCAGTGACCAACGAAGTGGTGGTTGCGCGATCATGAAGTGGTCAACGCTGCCGAGAACATGCGATTGTTCACTGATCATGGAAGTGGTCACAGGGCCAGCTTTGCAATGAAGCCGCATGGAAGATGTTTCCCCTCGCACGGGACCTGGCTGCAACGCAAGCCAGGGGTTGTGTGGGGAAAGCAACTAGATGCACGTGGCGGAAGCGAGAAGATCTTTGCGAGGTTGCGCCCAGGTGTTAGTTGTACACGTACGGCCTTGCGGCTTTGTCCTTCAGGTCCGGGGAGCAGGCTGATTCGACCTTAGCTAGCCTTTGCCGTGGCCTTCATGCCTTTCAAGGTTTTCTTTGCAAAGCTTTCATTCAGGCCAGCCAGTTGAGGCCCTGCGCTGACTTTCCCTCCCAGCGCTGCCGCAGATGCCGCAAGCGAGTCCAAAGGTCCTTTTGCAGCTGCCAGACACTTGCTTTCCAAGTCAAATTCAGCTGGGCAATGAGCGTTATTTTAGTGGTAGCTAACACTGTGCCACTGGATGCGTGCAGGTGTCACCTTATGGAAAACAGGAAAGCTGGGGGAGTCGGACTGACTTTACTGGGTAAGGCAGCACGCACATGTTGAAGTGAGCGAATGTCAACCTGAGTTTGGTCAGTTTGGGGTTCAGGACTGATTGTGAAGCCTCCATGTGCTGGAGATACAGTGTGGCCAACACCTCAGCTCTACATAGCGTTCCCCGTTGACATAAAGTTTCGTTGTTACTTCGCACGTACTGGGAGCTTAGGCTTCCATGCTCGGCCGTATCGCGTACTCTGGACATTTCGCCAAACTGCGGTTGATGTGTGTCTTACAAGGATTTGTTGCAGACCCTTGAAAAGCTCAGCTTTTACATTCGCACCCCGCTAAACTGTGGCGCCAGCCCACTTCTGTGCTTCACTTGCTCGGGCTCTTTGCAAGCGGGCTCCTAAGGGCTTTTCTGAGATTCTTGTCATGGGCCAGGACTCGCCAAGCCCGAGGAGTGCGACCAGCTGATCAAGTCCCAGGAGAAGGGTTGGTGCGTTTCTGTCTGGCAACAACCAGATGCCATGCCGAGAAAACCTGCGCTCTGATAAGAAAATGGCTCCTTGGGCTCCCAGAATCATTTTTTTTATCCGCTCAGATGCTTGAGAAGATCTAGAAGCAAGCTGATAGCAAGATGCATGAACAATTTGGTCAAAGTACCAGTGGGCTAATTATGTGTGTGCTAGAAACAGCCCAAGCAAGACAGAACACACTTTCGTGTGTGGCCGCATGCGTAGCAGGCCTTGAGCCAAATGGGCACTCGAATGGACTTTGAGTGGATTCTTTGGAAGCACCAGCCGAAGGGTTGGAAGATGTTTGTTCCCCCAAAAGTGCGCTAGTTTTTGTCTTTTTGAAGGGGGTTGTGTTCAAGGGTCTCCAAAGAGAAATCACCCGTGTTGGGCCCCTCTTCGAAGACAAACCCATACTTGTGACGTGACAGGTAGTCCCTGAAAAAACATCTTTTGAATGGGCACCTTGTCAGGTTGTTTATCTGCGCTGGTTACTTTGACTTTGTTCGCTTCGACCCACCACTTAGCAGGGGTTTTCTTTTGATCTCTGTGTGTGCGTGTTTGAGTGTGTCTGTGTGTGTGTGTGTGTGCGCGGGTGGGTGTGGGTGTGTGGGTGGGTGGGCAGGTGGCTCCGATTTCTTCCGCAGGAGGTTCTGGAGCAAGACCTGGTCATGGCCTTTGTGAGCGGAGGGTCTACCTCCAAGCACCGGCGCACACTGTCCAAGAACCTCTACCCAGACCTGGAGGCCTGTGGTTTCCGTGTCTTCACGGGTCCCCAAAGCTCACCCGGACATCGACGGCTGCATCGAATCCTGTTCCATGCTCCTGAGCCGCTGCTCTCCAATGCACCAGAGTCTGGGTAGGCTCACAGGGGACTCTGGGGCTGAACACATTTCGAACTTGTTGCGCCCCGTTTTCAGTATATGCATTTGACCAAAGGGCAAGTAGAACTGGCAAGTGCGGGTTGTGACTACATGTTTCAGGGGTTTGTGTTTTGCTTGCAGTGGGTCCTTGGACTTCTGTGTGGTGCTTTCAAGAGATGGCATTGTCACGCTAGTGGTATCCGTTGCAAAATTCACTGTTAACGCTCGCTTGTGCCTATGTTTCATCAATCGTGAGCAGCCGGAGGCTAGACTGAACCTATTGGCCACCATGTCAGGATTGCTGCAAACCTCTTTGACGCAGATAGCCAGCTGCAAGAACCATTTGTTTACCCACAATTGAGCGCTGGTGAGTGTGGGCCTCTTGATTATGGTTCGCGGTGTTTGTTCACAGCAGTTGGCGAGGCTCAGTCAGACGTGGTGAGGGTCTACTTGGGCATGCATTTGTTCAGTGCCTTTGGCGATTTGATCCCGGTGGCAGGGGTTAGCTTTGCCAAAAAGAACGGGACCTTAAGGTGGGTGCCTACACTTTCGGCGGGATCCCCCGATGCGTCAGTCGGATGGGGTCCCAGGAACCTGGCAGTATGCTGAGCAGGCTGCACAAGCGCTTCTTCCAGGCAGAACGTTTCGGAAAACCTGGGTGTCACGGGAAGGGAGGGTGGGTTTGCGACCGCCTAGGGTGCTTTTTTCCTGTGCATGGCACCGGGGTGATGTCAACGGCATGAGGATCCCAAACACAGCCCCTGATTATTCTTGATGACCCCCTATTACGTTATGAGCGGTTTGCCGGCTCTTGTTTGTGAAGTGCGCTGCGAGAAGGAAATTGCAGGGGAGGTGCGGGGTGTGCAGAATGGACCATCAATCCAGCGGAACGGGGAGAAGATCTTACGCGACGAGGGTAGGGGGAATGCGTTTGTTCTGGGGCAGGGCACCACGATTGCTGGGTGTGTGAAGGCGCGATTTGCGGCAGGCAGGCAAAATCTGAGTGCAGGTCGTCTTCTACTTTATTCGTTTTGTCAGCTGGTCAAGGAACGATTTTGAGTCTGCAGCAAGTGGGACTGCACTGAAAGCAAACACCGGCATCCGCAGAGGCCACGCCAGCTCCCCCTATGTACGGACACCTAGGCAGCGCTGCGGAATCATCGCTCAAGAGCAAAAGCCTGCACCAGCCATTCGGAATAAAGTCCACCAACACTTGGCGATGAGGAAGTTCCGTGCCTCATTTTCTTTCAGAGTCAGAAAGCACAAACAAACTTGAGCTGCAAAGAGTCTGGGAAAAACGGAGACCTCTTTGGGAACAACGCCTGACCCTCTGAGGTGGGGCAACATCTCACCCTCCACTCAGCGGTGCCTTGCTGATAGGGTTCTGCCCCATCAGTTTCTTATTAGGTGTTACATTGTTTCAGGAGAGACTGGTGCAAGTATTCGAGTGACATACGTGCTGCGTCGCTGGCTTGCTTCTGTCAGCGAGTGTTGAAGAAGGGAGCGTGGCCAGTTGGAGGAAGCTGGCCATTTTGTAGTCCATGTTCTTGTCATTTCGAGGGCACGGGCGCCCTTGAAGCCACGCAGCCTCAAATTTGCCAGGTGGCACGGGGAGCAACTGGCTTCAACCTGTGGCAGCGTGGCAGCATTGATCAAAGGAGTCTGTCTGTTCCCTGAGCTGAACCCCGTAGTGTTGCGTTTGCGTTCACGAGAGAACAGTAGGACACAAGTTCCGTTGCCGACAGAGGCGCAGCTTTGCAGGCACAGCCAGATGGATGAGGATCCTGAAGCAATGCAGGCGGCAACCATGAATTTTTCGTGTTTCATTTAACCGCCGAGAACAGGGCAGGGCATTTGACTGGACCTGCGAACGTGCATATGCATGTACACATGTGTACATGTTTGATTGTTTTGCATCTTAGTTTGTTCATGGTTTTCCTGAAGACAGATAACACAAGCTTGGTCTCTCGGGGCGAAAGGCTTCTCAATCAATCTACTTACCTACCAGGCACTTGCAAATATCCGCGGGCCAGCCGGCCTTTTGCCAACAACCTTTGTGTACGCGTTCCGAGATGTTTGCCTTGCAAGTCTGTCCATAGGTTTGCTCTTTGCAAGTGTGCTTCATGCATGAAGTACTCTCTGTGTGTGAATTGTGTCTTTGTGAATGTGCTTCACGCTACTGACGTGTCAGCGGAAGAGCCCTTGGGTTTGCTTTCGTCACAGAACTGATGATCTGCCATGGTAGCTCAGGCTTGGCCGCCAAACGGGCCACTATCAAAGCTTGGGTAGATGAGGGGAGGATGTCCCGAACTGCTCTGGCAATACCGACGTTCTGCCAGATTTTTCGGTACCGAACAGCTTAAACCGTTTTGAGTTTGACAGAAGCCTTTCGGGTCGTGTGGCCAAGGCCACCGGGACAAGAGCCCGTGAATTGGCTGCACTACAAACCCGGATACGCCGCCTGTCTGCATGGAACCCTGTCTGGTGATTTTGGATGGATTTGTTGGGAAGAGCAGCCATCCAAAGCTTAAAGAGTGGCATTTTCTCAATGGCTGGGCTTCTCTAGGGGAGCTCATGAGAGCGCAGCTTCGCAGATGGGATGCATCATACCTTGGTTTCATGTCTCCCTAAAGGTCGAACCGATCCTGGAAAACCAGCACGCGAACAATTACAAGAAGCAACAAATGATGAACAAGCCCACAGCAGCCCAAGTGTAGCCTTGCACTTTTGTCTATTGCGGTCGTCTCAGGAGTACCGTCCACACTGCGACGGTGGCTGTGGCCAGAGCTTGGTACCCAGCGGCATGCGGGTAGCATCCTCCCTGCGGCCTGGCCGAAATGGGTGTCAGGAACGGGTCGAAGATGTTATAAGCAGCTGACCAGGCCTGAGTTGAGCATTGGACACATGTGTTCAGATTACCGTGTCAGCATGGTTTCATTCATTGGCACGGTTGTGAAGATGTGATCGTGGTCATCTCTGGTGTCACGTTCGAGTCAAGGGTAGCGACAGCCTCGAGACATCACATGCATTCGGATCTTTCAAATCTGACACGGATTTTGGTTTTAATGTTGGCGATGTTAGTGGCGCGTAAAGCGGCCGGGTGTCGAAAAGTTGCTGGCAATGTGTGCTGGAATCTAGTCAATGCAAAAGTGGGATGCTACGTCATGCGTGTTTTGGGGACTTGACGACGCAAGCAAGATGCCATATATGCACACGGAAATGAAGCATTTGAATTTGGTAGGATATTTTTTTCGGGGAGGCCGTGCTGCGCAACTTTGTGGCCGGTAGTACCGGCAAGGCTTTAATCTGATTTGCGATCTGCGTATTGATACTTTCGCAATTGATTTAGGACTTGTTCGAGCACGGTGAATCTGGTGTATCAGCCACCAGAAGCAAGCATGATGCGCAAGGTTTCATGACTCATGGTTTCAAAAACATGCTGCAAGTGCATGCTCTGACTGTCCTATTCAGCGCACGTATTGAGGGTTGACAACATTGTCACAATGGCAGCTGACTTGTTTGCTCCTTTCGAACTTGACCAGCAACTCGGTTCACACTAGTTTCCTGTTTTGATTTGCTTCTTGTGCGTGGATGCCATTTTGTTGAGATGGGTGGGGGGGGTATCCCAGGCTGTACTGCAACGTGCCGGAGCAAGGCACAACCGGGCTTCGCAGCTGATGCCATTTTTGGGACTCGCTTTAGGTAGCGAAGAGCGACTAGATGTTCCCTTGAACTCCCTGTAAAGCAACATGGTGTGAGCGTTTTTACTCGTGTTCAACTCACTTTCTTATGTGTCATAGAATGGGCGTTCGCCAGATCCAATCTGTCAAATCTCCAGGAGGCAGGGCCGCGACAGCTTGCTTGGCTGGCTCGGCTTGGCTGGGCTTGGCTTCGCAGCTCGATCTGCCTTGGACGTCAGCGAGAACTGTGGCATGTCCAATCCTTCCACCAGCTCGAGGCATTCTGTAGCCGCGATGACTGGCAAGACTCAGCCCTGAGAACGCTAAAATTTAAGCGGTGCCAGCAGAGTGTTTAACGTTTAACACGTTTTGCGCGAAACAGGCTTTGACGCAGCCTTATTTACGAGTTGTAAACTCCATGCATTCGCCACGCTTTGAGGACATGAGCTTGCGTCAATGCGCTTCCCCGGCGTTGTGACGCAGGATCACTGGGGAGGCAAAAGCTCAAAGTCAAGTGCTAGATTGTGTGATCACTCATCCTTGAGATCCCGGTGGTGAATGGCGAATGGATCTCAATGCATGAGAGCCCTCCATATCTAGGAAGCAGCTCAGTCAGATCAATGTAGATGCATGTACACTCTGTACACACGTCGGCCAGTCTGCGATTGGTCAAGGTTTAGTGGGAATTCTTCAACACATGGCTTCCGTTCCAGCTTAGTGCTCCATACTCCTCCCCGTTTCGTGTGCGAGCAGTTCACCACATCAAATTGCACTGCCTTGACGAGCAATTTGCATGTAGAATAGGTTGACACGTTGAGTCTTTTTGGCAATTGGACTGAGCATGAGGCGCCCCCTCTTTGAGGGGGTCCGCTCATTTTCTGGCAAAGTGGGTCTAAAGCACCGTGGAGCACGCCTTTATGACTCATTGGCTACGCGAAAGGCGGGACGATGAAAATGGGGTCGAGCTAAATGTCCTTGAATTGAGATATAAAGGAGGGGACCATTTGCTTCATGTATTCAGTGAAGCCTCCGCACAGAATACGCCAGGCTTTGGAGACTGCTTGTGCGTACGAGGCATAGGACAAATCCAGACTTTGCCTGGGAATGTGGTCGCGTGGTCCATGGTGCCCGCGTAGTTTTGATGTTTTTGAGTCACCACTAACCAAACATGGAAGTTAGATGTCCGGCAATGTTTGGAGCAAAATTTGAATGCATTTTGCGAACGTGCGTTGGCCCCGCCAGCACTCCGCGTGCACTTTTACTGATCTGCGATTTCGAGCTGGAGCTTCTGTAGGTTGGGAGCCGCTGAGGGTTTGTGCTTGCTTCCCTATTGCTCGTGAGCGCACCGTTTGTAAAAGTCCTCGAAATTTGCGAAACAAGGCGCAAATGGAAAATGCGCCACAGCCATCAAAAGCAGTGTTGCTTGAGCGCATGTGCCTGTAGGCGGCAGCACCATCTTCACCAAAGACTCCACCAAGATGACCCCTGCTCGGGGTGACTTCTTGTCTCTTGGCGCTCGCAAGCGGTGCTTGGAAACAAGGGACTTGAGCAACGCAACCAACTTGGCAGACAAAACATCATTCATGATCCGCCTGTGCTCTTTGGAAGCGAAGAATTTATGGTGTGTTCCGGTTGTGGTGATGAGAACTGCTCAGCTACCACCTCGTTTTTAAGTACGAGCACCTCGAAGCAAGTGCAATTGCTGTTGTTTCGGGTCTAAGAGGTGCTGTCTATGCCTCCCAAGGTTATCCTCAACCCAGGTTGCCATTGTGTCCCTTGTTATTGATCGATGAAATGACATGTTGCTAGTGCAACATATTAGGCAGTAACAGCCCTCAAAAGATCATATGTGATCATGTGGCAGTTCAGTGAATTTGCATTTGCACATTGGCCACGCCACAAAGTAAACTGGCTCGAGTCTCGCTTATGCAACAACCTGAAGATCGAACAGAGCTCCCATTTGTAGATGTTGGGCTTTCTGAGTTCCATCTTAATTCCTTTAGCGGAGTATTGAGCACTTCAGAGCAGGCAGGTAATTAGTGGCCACTTGCTGAGCGGCTTATGAGCCCACTGGATGTTTGAATATCTTTAAACGAGATGTTGACTCAGGTGCCCCGAGATGTCCTTTTTGGAGCATTTTGAACGTCCTGATTGGAACAAGCTTGATTTAGTTTCCTTCTGGCGATGTTATTCAAAGAGAATCACGAGGGCACGGTACCTTCAGATGGTATGATTATCATCGTCAACATCAGCAGCACCATCACCATCATGGCAAACATGCTTGTCGCAGGTGTGCAGCTTTGCCTGCGTATGTCCAGTCGGTCTTTAGTTTTAGATGACCAGCAACCAAATGGTTTATTGCTAAACACTTGTGCTTTGGGCCACGGGGATCAGTCATCACAATGCATTCTAATCTACACACATTTGTACATGGAAGGTGAGAGAAGCACATTCTTCCGTGGGACTCCATTCGAGATGCATTTTGGACAGTGGCATCTTGTTGGACCTCGGGTGTGCTTCCTTTTAAGTCTTACATCAAAATCCATCCTCCTTCCCCAAATGACAAATAGGTAAAATCTTCGATGACGTGGTTATTTGCCCTTTGCCTAGGGAAGATCTGTGTCAGACCCACCCTTTGAGTGTAACTGCGGGCGCCCAGTCAAGCCAAGGTTCTTCACGTACAAGAGCGACCCGGACCACATGTCCACGCATGCTGCCTGCCCAGTGCTGCTCGGCTTCGCACCTTGGGATCTTGGGATCCGTGAGGCGTTTCCACCAAGTTGCCCAAAGCTCATCGACTGAATGGATATTTCAGA